ATGGCATCCACGTTTTCTCCCCTTTTTCTTACTTCTTTTTCCTTAAGTCTTTCTTTTCCCCCCTCTAGTCCACAAAACCCCCAATATCAAAAATGGTATTAATAATATTGGTAATAAAGGTCACAAAGCAGGGTCCCAATATATCTTGTTTCTCCTGCTTCTAGGTTTTAAATCTCTTTGGAACAGACAGATATTAAACTTTTCTTCCTTTTCTAATCAATAAGTGGTTCGCTCAGTTCCAGTAATGTATTCCTTATTCCCCATGTAGAATTTATCTATGTAACAATAGGTTTGTCAGGCTCCAACTAGCTTCTTTAAATAAAAGTGGTGCTGGTGATGGCATTTACATCGGCAAGCCGTGTACCCACTTCTGGTGGTAGTAGCTCCCGATGTCCTCTGCCTCCGTCCGTTCATAGAATCATAGAATTATAGAGTTGGAAGAGACCCCAAGGGCCATCCAGTCCAACCCCCCTGCCATGCAGGAATTCCCAATTAAAGCATCCCTGACAGATGGCCATCCAGCCTCAGATCGCAGGTCCAGTCTTGAATCTTTTGATCTCTGAACTGGAGGCAGGAATCCAATCTTCGTGGAGCCTCTCTGGTCCACTTTTGCGAAAGGGGAAACCTCTGAGCAGCTGGATCACAATCCCCAGCTCCTTTTTGCCAGAAGTTGGTGAACCTCTTGCGGAGGCCGCAAAAGTCTCTTTCATGCCGCCACAGCCTGCACCGGAAGTCCTCAGGATTCAGTTCTGTTTTGTCAGTCAAGACAAACTCTAGGAATTGCCCGAATCCACCTGTAGATCACAGTCAGTGAGAAGGTTCCACGTTTTGACAAAATCATGAATGAGAAGCAGGAGCAAAGAAGTCATTGAATGTCATGTTCACATTTGAGATTGATTTTAGTGTTTACAATTTTTTTTCCTGAACAAACTAGAATCGAATTGCTCGGTTCAGATTTGCATTTTATGCACTGAGTTAAAAGCTTTTTTTTTTTTAAGTTCAATTTGTTCACCCGTAGTATTGTACGTGGTTCAGTTTGTGGTTCAACTATCAGAAATGGGCCTTCTTCATCTGCAAATGTGATATTACTTTCATGCCTTCATAGAACATTAATCAAACATTTCCTAGAGGTGTGGGGCATAGAAAAGGTTGGAAACCACTGGAAATGCAAGCATACTGGGTTGGGAACAATCATTATTGCACAACTCATCCAAAATACCATGGTTTTGCTTCTTTCCTGGGCTCTGCCTTCCTCATACCAGCCTCCATAGCCTCGCCTCCCTATCCTATTTTCTTCCCAGCATGCAGAATTGCATGATCATGGCAATCCATTAAGTTAAAAAGAAAATAAATAGAAAAAAACAACAACAGCCCACTTGGGAATAATGAAGGGGAGAGAAACATCATCATGCCCATTCACACAACATGACTGCCTGCATCTCTTCTTCAAACTGCTTCAGAAGGAACGTATCACACTCACTCAATAGTGCAAAAGCAGTGCAACTGGGAGGCATTGACAAGTTTTGCCTATCAATGAAAAGGAGCACTCCAATGATGGATGGACTAAGGACCAGCTACTGGACAGGCACAGCGTCGTGTGATAAGGTATGGCCACAAATGCTGATTGTTGTTGCTGTTGTGTGCCTCTGAGTCCTTTTTTACTTACAGCGATCCTAAGGCCAACTTATCATAGGGTTTTCTTTGCAAGTTTCTTCAGAAGAGGTTTGCCATTGTCATCCTCTGAGGCTGAGAGAGTGTAACTTGCCCAAGGTCACCCAGTGGGTTTTTGTAGTTGGGTGGGGAATCGAATCCTGGTCTCCAAAGTCACAGTCCAACACTCAAACCACTATGCCACACTGGGTCACCTGCTCTATCTGTCAAATGCTAATGTCCTGCTTTAATTTGACTTTTCAAGCCTTGTGTGATAAAGTCGTTAGTCCAAGAGCCCTTTTATACCACACTAGACACCACACAATTATAGTGCTAGGCTTCCACTTGAACTACTACTAGTTAAAGAAGAAGAAGTATGAAAGGGCCCTAAGAGAAAGGCAAGGGCAACTTAAATCCAGTGACGAAAAGGCCATTGAGTGTTAAAGGTCTGTTGCAGAATGCCTTTCAAGAAAGAGAGTTTAAATTTGTAACGACTTTGTTTTTTTTTTCCCCATTCCTTTTTTTTTTTTTAAGGAAGAAAGAGGGGGAAAACTAGATAAAATGATAAAAAATAATAGAATTTTATTGGTTTAACACACACAGGATTGGGAATAAATATTGTATTTGAAGTGAAGACAATAAGTTTTAAATGAGAAAAGTTTTATACAAACTGGATGAACATGGGAAGTCAATTGTAAACATGTATATTTGAAAATTACGTTTTATTACTATTTGATATTGTTTAGTATATTTTATATATCATGTATTTTTAAAAAAAATAATATAAAAAAAGAATGCCTTTTAATTGAGGTGCATTGGATTTGTGTTTGCATTGCTATCATTGGCACATCTTAATGGCCTACAGGTTTCGTGGTTTCTTAGAAAAGGTATTTGTTTTCTCCTGTGACCCTCCATCTGCACCTGTTTTCATGACAGCTCCTTTTGAAAAAGACCCCGTGACTTGCAGCGATCACACATAACTGGGTGGCAATGTCGGTCTCATTCTGAATCACATATTTCTTGGGTTGCTCAGTTTCTCATATTTACCTTCTATTCCTTCTTTGTGTTGGGGCTTCCAGGGGTTTTCCATGATCACTTACAAGTTTATGACAATTCTGCACAGTGGCATAGAATCATAGAATCACAGAGCTGGAAACTACCCCAAGGGCCATATAGGCCAACCCTCTGTCATGCGGGAATACACAGCTGGAGCATTCCCAAAAGGTGACCATCCAGTTTCTGCTGAAAGACCTGCAAAGAGTGATATACTACTTTCTGAGAACCAGGGTTGCCAGAGTGAAAACTGGAGTAGAAAAGAGATTCCATCTCAAATTTAGGAGGAAGTTCCTGATAGTAAGGACTGTTCAACAGTGGAACACACTCCTTCCTCGGAGATTTTGGTGGAGGCTCCTTCCTTGGAGGTCTTTAAGCAGAGGCTGGATGGCCATCTGTCAGGGATGCTTTGATTGGGAGTTCCTGCATGGAAGAATGGGGTTGGGCTGGATGACCCTTGGGGGTCTCTTCCAACTCTATAATTCTATGATTCTATGATTCAACTTTAAATGGCTGTGTGGAAGAGATTATTTCAGCAGGTATTGCTTGTTACGCAACCAGGTAACAAACAACACCTGCTGAAATTCTCTCTTCTGTTACAAGTGTTAAAAGTGTAAGATCTCTCTTCAGTTTTCTCCTTGGCAACCTTATCTGAGACACTCGTATTCCACTCTCCAAAAGGTCTTACCACCCATTACCATGCATTAATAGAAGTATAGTGTCTAGATCAAGAGAAGTAATAGTGCCACTCTATTCTGCTCTCATCAGGCCCCACCTGGAATAATACTGTGTCCAGTTCTGGGCACCACAATTCAAAAAGGAGGTTGAAAATCTGGAGCGTGTCCAAAGGAGGGCGACTAAAATGGTGAAGGGCCTAGAAATCATGCCCTTTGAGGAGAGACTTAGGAAGCTGTGTATGTTTAGCCTGGAGAAGAGATGGTTAAGAGGTGATATGATAGCCCTGTTTAAATATTTGAAGGAGTGCCATATTGAGGATGGAGTAAGCTTGTTTTCTGCTGCTCCAGAGACAAGGACCTGGAACAATGGATGCAAGCTCCAGGAAAAGCGATTCCACCTCAACATTAGGAGAACCCTGACAGTGAGAGCTACTGAACAGTGGAAGACACTTCCTCGGAGATTTTGGTGGACTCTCCTTCTTTGGAGGTCTTTAAACAGAGGCTGGATGGCCATCTGTCAGGGATGGTTTGATTGTGAGTTCCTGCATGGTTTCCAGACCC